TTTGCAGAGTGGATAATGATGATGCTCAAGTCTGATCTTTTTGTTTGTTTTTTGCTGAAAAATGTGTTAAAATTAAAAACATTTTGGACAATTTTTTTCTGACTTCCAGATTTGCATTGTTCTTCACACAGTCTCTAATAATTTCTATAGGCTTCCTCCAGTACTCTATGCATTACTTAAGTTAATTAAATGTTCCTGTTACTGCCACAAATCTTGAAAAAACTTCCTCACTGTGAACTTGCTGAAACTAACTTCTGTGTTTAATTTTCCTTGGCAGTAATTCTCAGAAAAATGAACTTGTGAGCCAGCACTCGCCTCATTGTCTTCAAGTTACTTCATTAACTTTGTCATTGATTTCCCTCCAAAGACCACTAAATCTGCCTGTTGTTTATGAACAAATTAATAATCAAAGCGCCTCCTTGCGAGCCCGTTTATTAAATATGTTATTGATATTTTAGACTGCAAGAGGACGACATCATTTATCAGGCCTGCCAAAGCGGATTATTTTTGGATGGAGAAAAGCTCACAACAGTTTCACTTGGATGGAAATTAGGATTTGCCTGGCTTCACAGAGCATCCTGACATAGCTAAATAAATGCAAGATAATGACAAGGCTGCCTTCTCTCTGCTGTCAAGAATCAATGACAAACTTTTCTGTTTGTATATCAGCTTATAAGTAGCTATCTACTGCCACCTTTGGAGTGAAACCAGATCTCCCCCAGCCTCTTTACTCATGAGATCATATATGTGAAGGCTCTGGGTTTTGATGCAAAATAAGAACTCACTTCTTTCTGATCGGTTTCACAATGAATTGGGTTTCCAAGAACAATAAACTGTCATACATTTGTGAAAGGAACATATGGTTGGAAAGAGACACAGTGACAGGGTGAAATATATTGTAAAGGGGACAGCAGACTAGCATTACAATAACTTATCCCATATCCACCCACCTGTTCCCACTTCTCTCATCTGCTCTGCTGATGCTTGGCCTTCTAAGCCCACCTCCTCGTGCTCCCGTAAGCCTTTAGACCTTATTCTTGTAAATACATCACTGAACTGATCCTGTCTGCCTGCCTCTGTCTGCGTTTGGGTCGTATCCCTGACGCCTGTATGCACCGGCTGTGACATTTATACATTACCATTCACTGGTGAGTCTTATTGCCATGGGAATTATTTCTATTTGATTTATGTTTTTTTCATCCACTCATCTATTTATTTGACAGATGCCAGATTTGTGTTGATTTGTGTGAGTTTTCTTTACACAGTAACACAAGCTTCAGAGGACTTAATAAATTAGCATTTATATGTAGTTTTCTGGGACCCTGATGGTGTATGAATTAAATTACCTTGTTTTGCTAACTCCTAGTTTAGCAGTTCAAGCTAGAATGAAAGAGATGACAGTCTCTACTGCCATCCAGTGGTTAGTCAAGAAAACTAATCACCTCCATATGGAACAGATTACAACATAAAGTGAGTCTTAATGCCTGAAGTGATGTAGGTCAAACTGTAACTGTCCAGAGAGAATGAACCCTGTAAAACTGACTTTCAGTTCATGTAGAAATTAAGCAGAGCAATGATACATTTGAAAGCTTAGGTTCTGTGTGTTTTTACACGTATGTGCGCAATTACAGTACAGTGCGTGGCAGTGTGTACTCGAGGGTGGGTATGTCTGACTGTTTCTGTTCTGAAATCCAACTTTTATCCTGAAAAAATGAGCAAAATGACTTAAAATATCAGACACATGGTGTGTATCACACACAGAAAGAAACTATGTTTCTGTTGTGGCTTTTTCAGACTGAACACAGGAGATTTTTCTTTTTCTTTCTGTTGACGGCATTACACATCTTGTAATGATTTGTCAGGATTTGGCCAAAATCCACTGCCACATGGAATGTATTCGTGTCTGGTCGTTTTTTTTTCTCTTTCTCCTCTCCTCTCCTCTACAATACAGTCCTGAGAGCTCAGGTCATGTCAACTTGATCCATTGGCTCCTCCTTATTTAGCAGTGCAAAAAAGTCAGTGCAAAGGTCAAAAGAGGTCAGGCAGGGGCCCACTGTTAACTCAACAGATGCCATTAAAGGCTGTGTGCTTGTGAAAATGAGCTATTGATTTTGATGACAACATATATTGATCATATTGGCAGAAAAATCTTTACTGTGACATGAGATGGCTCAAATCATTCAGGACAAAAAAAAAGGTATTAGAGGTTAAGGATGAAAAGTAAATTGACCCTCCTGGGAATAAGGAGAGAAGGGCAGAGCAACAAGACAATGAACATCCGAAATTCAAGAAAAATAAACCCAGCATTGGCTCACACAGTGAGTTTGCACATGCGTGATTATAGGCTATAAGAAGATGCAAGGTGAAGTGTAAAGATTAGAAAATTCCTTGTTAGGTGTAGAAATTCAAGATAAAGAGTGCTTGCCAGTGGGATTTACTTGACACTATCTTGAAAACTAACGGCAGGTCCTGAAATGTGCTGTGGTGTATACATGTTTCACAACAGACCAAGTAAAACTAGATTAAACTGGACTGAAATAGATTAATCTGCTAAAATAAAGGTTGTTGTTTTCTGGCTGGAAAACACACTGGGGCCTGGACAACCCTGTTGAAGTATCGCTCGGTGGGAAGCAGCCAGTTGTGACAGGAGCAGGTGAAAGTGTGTGTTTGCTTTCAGCTGGGGCCCAAAATACCACACGCATGCACACAAAGTTCACAAAGTCTGATTTTTTAAAAATGTATGCACAGGAATAATGCACACTTTATTCACTGCCACTGTAATCTGATGACACAAGAAAAACTGAACTTTAAAAACACTAAATCACAGGCTGATTCAGTAACTCCAGACTGAATAAGAGTATATATGAGTCCATGAAACAAACCTGCTCAAGTTTCTATCTTGCACACCTTCAACAAACAATAGAGCAGAACAGGACATGTACAAGAGTAACCCTTCACCCCTCAACAAGGATAAGCCACTTTTATCCTTGGTGACGCAAAGTTTTATCAGCTTCCTCTTACTACCACTGAAAACAAGTAAGGATGTGCACAGTAAACAAAAGCTGACAGGTCAGTGGGAGGAGAGAGAGAAATACAGCTTTATAAAACATGGATCAAGCTCCTGTGGTCAAAAGCACGCTCTGGATTTAGTTCTCCTTAACAGCTAGAATGAGTGTTATGGCTTAAATCGAATAAGGAAGAGCTATAATATATGTTATATAAGTACAATTACTGAAAACAGTTTTAGTCTCACCACACCACTGCCTAGCATACATGTGGAAGACGACAGCTCCACTTGTGCTGTATGATTTATAGCAACATATGTCTGTGCCGTAAATCAATCTGCTCTCATGTTGTAGAGTAACCCAATACATTTCTTGTATCATCCAATTTAGAATAAACTGCAATGCAATCTTATTGAGTGAATGATTTTTTGATGTTTTAAAGTCACAACAACAAATAAAGAGACCTTTTTATTAATGTAACCCTTGCACACTGTTTATAAAAACTGCATGAATTACAGTATATCTCTACTGTTTGATTATTTCCCATCGGAGCAAGTGGAGCAGATGGTGCGTCTGTGTCATGGCAAAAGCAAACACTCATAGTTTGTAGTTCCTGCTGAATCCAGCCAAGGCAAGGTGCAGTAAGTCAATACGGCCACAACTAAAGCACTTATCAATTATTAAACAACTGCTCCAATAGGAACACTTGCAGAAGCAGAGGAGGAGAGGTTGACTTGGAGTTCAAGTGTCAGGAATTAGCCTGTGGTGTTTTTTGGGATGTTTTGTCTAATCTGGTGAGTCATACCAAAAATGTAGTGGAGACAATGGCACTTAACTACATCTTTAGCTTAAAATCAAACACAAATGCCCACACAGGACTTTGCGTGGATTCAAATGCACATTGACACACACACACACATACAGAGGTGAGGTTTGCACTGTACGTTCTGGTTAAACTTCACAACATTTCAACACAAAATCTTACAATTTTGTTTTACAGACCAAACATCGACTCATGTCATCAGCAAAATAATGGACAGATAACGGGATAGGTAGAATTATATTATTAAACAGCAACCATAAAAAGAGTTGTCAATGTGACTACACGCTGACTCCTCCCAGGTTTATTTATGTACAGTTATCAAGAAGAAGTTAATTAAATGTACAATATCCTTTATGTTTTGGACCTCTGAGTTTTAAAGGTAAAGATGTAAAAACTCCTCTTGGAGGGCATAGTACTCATGCACCCTCCTCTATAAGCAGCATGTTGTTGGTTTGGAGACTGACTATATGACCCTGATGATTATGAACTCAGCAGCTCATTACCACTACACTTAAGTTGTAAACACCAGACATGTTTACAGCAGCTGTTTGTTTCAATGTTCTTTTGAAAATGTTGATCCTGACGGGGGTATAAAACCTTAAAAGAAATTTGGCTCCATGGTGTCAGAGGCCCAGTTTTAGGCTTGTGGAGGTTATGCAAGGGCAGAGTATTTACCACAGAATAAACACTTGTGCCTCCAGACTGATACTAAGAGCTACACATGAAAGTTTATCCAAAGACGTTTATGTTTGAGGTCTCAGGAAAAGTGACTTTACAGCCATAACAACCTGACTGTTCCTGAGGAAACACTGTATGTGATTGCTTCATGGCATGAGAATGTGTGATGTAATCAAGGGTCCATTAGTGTCTGCTCAGATATGATTTAGGTCCAAACAATTAAGTCTATCTTATTTAAAGGGGTGACACTGTGTATATAAAGAAAATATTTAAATAAAATAGAAATTACAGCAACAAACACAACTTAATATACCATTCTCTGTGACGTTCCAAAACATCTCCAGCCAAAAGCGTTTTTTTTCCCCCGCTGACCCCCTTGTGCGCTCGTGTGTGTGTGTGTGTGCATGTGTATGTGTGTGTGTATATGTGTGTGTTTGTATATGTGTGTGTGAGACTGTGCGCCCCTCCTACCCTCACTCCGCTCCGTGAAGCCACATTTTATGATTTGGTGTGGAAGCGCTCAGGATCCGCTGCCCGCCGGGGGAGAGAGACGCACCGGGAGCCTCGACGCACAAACTCACCGTCAGAAAAAATGACCGTAGAGAGAATATTCGATGAGCTCGGACATTTCAAAAGGTATCAAAAGCATTTTTTTTTTTTTTTTACTCTATCCAGACTTAGTAAGTTGGCATGTTTGCTTTGTTCTGTGAATGAGTTCGGGGGTATCAGAAGCCAGTTGGTGCTTTCGAATTGTAACTTCTCAACGTCTGAAGTTATTTTTATTCCATGTTGCAAATGCGTTTTTGAAAGCAAACACCAAAAAAAAAAAAAAAAAAGACCGAAAGAGCGCATCCCATTCCATTTCATGAGTTGTGCACAATGCTTTTGGGTCTACAATTTTTTTTCTACCACATGTCAATGCTTACCGAGTCTCCACTCAGAGGAACTTTTGTGTCCCCTGTGTATATTTTTGAAAAAAAATCGTATAAGTATTCCAGTTGTTAGAAGAACTAAAGCTATTATATCTTTTTGAAGTGCATTAATAAGTGCCAGAATGTAACTTTCAGCACATGTTTCTGATTTTCCCCTTTAAAGTAATAACGTGCTGAATTCATTCAACTTCATTCAAAGCATAAGTTAAATGAATATGTTTTGTATGCAGTTTGTCCTTTTTGTATAACAAGATATCATCACTGTCCCTGCTTGTTTTTGTAGTTAAAAAGCACAATTGAGATTTACATTTTAAGAAAATCAAGAAAATGTATGATGTTGAAATGTGGGAAATTTTACCTCAGTCCAGCTTACTTTAAATACTGTCAAATCTCTTGTGATGTTGACTTTTTTTTAACTAATCACTGCAACACCTGGGCAGAACTTTATACAGTACACCAGGATTATTCATCAAAGGATGATTTCTAAGGTGACCTCAGCAGTTATCCATTAAATGGAAGACCTAAAGGATTGCTCCCCAACCACTCATCATGTCTTCTCTTCAGCTCTGGTGTCAGCATATTTTTAAGGCACTGTCTTTCTCTCCAGATTTCAGGCATGTCTGTATTTTGCAGCAGTATTCCAGGCTGTAGCCTGCGGGATCCACTACCTGGCCTCTGTCTTCTTAGTGGAGACACCAAACTTTGTTTGCAGTGTACCCAGCAACATCACAGATGTCCTGTACGGCAACCTGACGGTATCCAGTCTGGAAGAAATCCTGCCAGTCTTCAAGTCGGGGACTGGGCCCTTGGTGGTGAGGACGGCTGAGGGCCAACAGTGGGAGCTCAGCCGGTGCCGCTGCGCCCTGCGCGTCGACCCAAAAGACTTTACATACGATTTTGATGGCAACAAAACAGTGAGAGCCTGCAATGGGACCTTTGTTTTCGACCACACTGAAGTTCACCAAAGCATTGTGACGGACTGGGACTTGGTGTGTGAGAGAGAGTGGCTGGCCAAGCTGTGCCAGCCCACCTTCATGCTGGGGGTGCTGATCGGAGCGCTGCTGTTTGGGGACATTGCTGACAGGTAACCAGGGGCTGCAGGATGGGGGAGGATGGGGTGGGCACTGTGTACAAACATGTATTCTCTCTCTTGCTCAGTGGTTGATGTATGATGCATACACTCACGGTGGCCTCATAAGCACGGAGGGAAAGGGATGACTAGAATGACAGTCAGGTAGGAAAAGTAGATCATGGGATTGAGGGATGAAAGAAAGGGAGGAGGAAGAGACGAGAGTGGCAGGAAAGCAATAGGGAGGCAGGAAAGCCTGGGCACACTTTGGACAGATCAGGTGACCTGACTGAGCCAAGACTGAAGTGGTCAGCATTTAGAAGTAGGACTTTAGTCTTGTGTACTGGAGGGTACACTTGCTTTGATGTCTGCCCAACCTCATATCTTATAAATTGATCCCACTAGCAGAGTTAAAAGAGAAGGATTAAGTGCTAATTGTTTGTATGGATGAGTTAATCATCATCACACCTCACTGTATCTGCTCTTACGCATTTTATACACAGTCTTATCTACCATGACTAATGGTCGAATGCTTTTATGAGCTGGACATTGTCAAAGTCTTGGTCCTCACATTGTGAGGTCAAGTTTCGCTTGTTAGTAGCCGTGAGGTACATTGAGCAGGCAAAGGGGTTGTGGAGCATCTCTTGAATGTTGAGGTCAAAGTTCACTCTCATGTTTATATACTGTGTTCTGTTTTCTTTCTCTAAACACAGAACTCGAGAATATTTGTGTAAGACATTAGCTTACCTTGACCCACAGAATTTTAGCTGTATTGCTTTACTGCAAAAAGTTGCTAACATCACAGCTAACATTTTATTGCAGAACCTTAGTGGCCCATACAACAAACATACTATTCTTGTCTACAACTTGTATTCAGATACCTGATATATGCCATGCAATGCCTACAACATAATGTTGGTCTAGTGATACCTTGCTGCAACTGAAAGTCAACACAACTTTCAACGCAACAATTAAATCATCTTTTATGTAATGTATTGCTTACCTGAACACCACCTTATTTCTCTTTATCTCTCTATCTGTCTTTCTCTACCTGCATGGGTGTCTCTCTCCTCCAGAGTTGGTCGTGTGAAAATTCTGATGTTCACCAGCCTCTGCCAGTTTGTGCTTGGGGTATCTGTAGCGTTTTCTGGAAACTACTATTTCTTTGTGGTGCTTCGCTTCCTCCTTGCCATGGTGAGTTCAGTGTGTGTATCTACTGTGTGTGCTTCTGTACTGTGTGCGGTTGTGTATCCAACTGTGTTCTTGCATAGCATGGTTGCTTGAATTAGGGAAATTATTAATGTGGAATAAAATTTTAACCAGGGAGAGCATACCAAAAAAGAAAGAAGGTAGGTGTTCCTGAGACCTCTAACTTAGTTGATAAAGGTAATCCACCAGGGTGACGACACTAACGCTAATGTGAGTCATTTTGAAAAAGGTCTCTGTTATTAACACTTGCCCAGTATGGGTCAAGGGAGGTGCCTTATTTTCCATTTTGGCTGGTAAACAAGCATGATTCTCCAGGTTGATTATGTGTCCAGTTTCTCAAGGTTTTTTCTGCAAAACAATCTCTCAGCCAATCGCTAATGTTCTCTACGAATACATGAGGAGCCACCTCCTGTTAGTCATATTGCAGCCAAGCCAACATACAAACCAAAGCAAGATGTTTGCTCCAACTGTGCATAATAAGAGTATAAATGTAACTGTGTAACCTTAACTGTATATATACTATATTTCTGCACATCTTCTGCACAGGTAGTAATGTAGGTTGTGTTAGTTAGCAACCCAAATAAGGTCAAGTAGCAACTGTCTTATAATAGCGTAGAAAAAATAATTTACATTCATATAAATCAAGGGAATGCAAGAAATTAGCAGAAATTAGATCACAATTGCTCACATTTTTCATAATCAAGAAAAAAACGTACATTTATAGAGATGTTAAGGGAAGCATCGTTTTTTTTACGAGCATAGATATGTGTATATAAATATATCTCTGAGTTGAGTTGATGTTTTTGTAAAACTTAGAAAAACTTTATGTCTCACAAATTAAACCAGGACCCATATGGGTAAACCTCAGTTGGTGCAACAGTGCGAAATTTCCAGACCACCATGTTAAAAGCAGGCAACAATGAGGACTTTTTGGGATAAACCGTAGTAGAGCAGGTGAAGTTATAGAGTGTCTTTAGTGGTTCTTTGTATGTTCACATGTATGCACATTTGTCTTTCTGTGTACAGAGCACTAAATAAAATGTGCGTAAAAAAACATAAACAACAGTTTACAAGGCAAAGGAAGGGAGTCATTACGGTTACAAGTCCACATGGCAGTAAAGTTGTGCTGAAAGACTCCCCTACAGTCTGTCCACTGTTTCACTGCTCTCCGTCTTCTACCATCCCCCCAGTCCTCCTCAGCTACAGCTGTTGTTTTTCACATAGAATCAGTCTCTCGGATAGGGTACGCTCATACTGCGGAGCCACACTTAACACAGTGCAGAGTCAGTCTTATAAGCAGGGACTTAAAGTGTGATTACTGCCATATGTATCACACAAAGGTCTGACAACAACATGTTTACCTCTAAGTTGCAGAAAGTACAGAGAGTGCATTATCTCTCTATTAAGTCTTACAGTGTGACTTTGTATGATGTATATATACAGCACCATTTAAAACCCTTAAATAAGAAGCACTTTGCATTCTGTGTATGTGTTTATTAAAAATGTGCTCAAATTCTTTGTTTTATGTATTTAGAATAGCATATTCTTGTACATATTCCAATTCCTTGTATCTCATCCTTTTCCATTTTTGAATCCTCCATCTCTTGTGTTCTCCTTCCTTGCTCTCTCCATCTCTCGCTCTCAATTTTTGTCCTTATTGTATCTTCCAATCCTGCTTCCGATTTCATCTTTTTATTTGTGTCCCTCCTTTCCTTTGCTTTTGGCAGGTATCCAGTGGCTACCTCGTGGTGGTGTTTGTCTATGTCACAGAGTTCACTGGCATCAAGGTACGAACATGGACCTCTATGCACGTGCATGCAGCCTTTGCCGTCGGCATCATGGTAGTGGCTCTGACCGGTTACCTGGTGCGGGTCTGGTGGATCTACCAGATCATACTCTCCACGTGCACCTCGCCGTTCCTGTTCTTCTGCTGGAAGTTCCCAGAGACGCCCTTTTACTTGATGGCCAAGGGCCGTTACAAGGACGCTCAGACCCTGTTAGACGCAATAGCCCGCTTCAATGGTCTTGATTACAGGCTGAAGGTGGAGGAGCTCCTGGAGCCAGAGGAGAGGGAGAATGGCAGAGCTCTGCTCGAGGAGTCAGAGGAGCGGCCATCGCAGTCTGAAAAGAAGCTATCCATCCTGGACCTGTTCGGCAGCTGGAGGATGGCGGGCCGTACGTGCACAGTGTGGGCCATCTGGTTCATCGGCAGCTTGGGCTACTACGTGTTCTCTTTAGGCTCAGTCAACCTAGGAGGAAACCAGTACATTAACCTCTTCCTTGCTGGTAACTGATTGGCTGATGAGTGTGAATGAGCATGAAAAATATTGATATCGCAAAACTATACAATTGTAATATCTAGCTTTGTGTGTGTCTTGTTACACAACAACATCCTACTTAGGTCATAGGTATAACTGTGTGTAGATGGATTTGGCAACTGTTGACAACTGCTAATAACAGATATCCATGTAAACAAATCAGCCTCTCAGATAGTCCAGGCCTCTTTACTAAATTGAGCAGTATGCTATTTAGAACGGTCAGCTTTCACTCTAGTCCCTGTTTGCAATGTTTGTTCTGTACACTACAAAATGTCTGTCTAGTGTCGTGTAGTTCAGGGAACATTGTGTCACTGGCGAAGGCGGTGAGATCTTTTCTGTTCTCCAGTTTGGCTTTGTTTACTGCTCTGTTTTTGGTCACATAGCAGGTCAAATTAGCCTGTGAGCAATTAAGAAAAACTACAGCCCTCCCGAGCTAAATAGTTTCCCTGTGGTTTTTCATCTAATAAAGGAAATAAGATTTGTACTGTAATAAAAAAAATTTTGTTAAACAAATCAAGAACTGATGTATTGCTCATGTAATGCTGTTTTGAAAGCATTGGGTTTTCTATGGCACATTTCCCAGTATAAACTTTAAAGCTATTATTTCTCACAAATGTGCATATTAAATGCTACGTTTGGTACTAGTTATGTCTGGGAATCGGGATGATATGCAGTATTTACACTACATTGACTTCCTCTTTATAATTGAATGTGCTTCTCTTAATGTCCACTGGCAATATTTATAATCCCTACTTTTCATTTCATACAGTAGAGCACATTTGGGAGGCTGGTTATTTATGACCCCTAGATGGAATGTCTCGGTGTCAGCGTGTCAGTGCCATGATAACCTCTGACCGAGAGCTGCTGTGATTGGCTGTTTCCAGGTGCAGTGGAGCTCCCCTCCTATCTGGTTGGCTGTTTTGCAATGGACCGGATTGGCCGGAAGAAGACGTGTGCCCCAGCTCTGCTCCTGGCCGGGATCGCTTGTATGCTCATCATTGTGGTACCTGCTGTACGTACTGGGAGTGTGTGTGTGTGTGTGTGTGAGAGAGAGAGAGACAGTATGTGTATACATTTAGGATATTTAGGTATTCTTGAATCTTAATTATTACAAATTATCTTGTCCACTTTTTTTCCACACTATTATTTCTTTGGGGTTATAAAACTGCTGACTCAACAATATTTTTAGTGGCCCCCATAACAAAATTCAGGAATAGGAGTTACAAAATGGAAGCTTTATTAGTATTATTTTTAATTATTTGACCCCAAACTTAGAGGAATTGGCTGTGATGTTCAGTCCAACAGAACGATTATCCTGCAGAGAAGGCTCATTTTATCTTGTTCTCACAATCATCTTTAGATTTTATTACTTCAATGTTTTCAACTCAAATTTTGATTTCTAACTGCAACTGAAACATTACACATGTGACAGTGACGCTGCTGTCAACAAGATGTGACTGTTAGTCGTTGGGGAGTCGTGTGTCAGAGGCAAGGTAATACAGGGCTATTTTTAAAGTATTTTCTGCACTGACACAATCTGTCTGAACCGTTGAGTTTACTGTCCTGATATTGCCCCGGGCCACTGGGCCACTGTTACTGATCCCTAATATACGACACATGCAGTTCCTAGTGTGTGTGTGTGTGTGTGTGTGTTCTGACCCAAATTAGTTTTGTTCATAGTTGGGTTGGCAAACAGCTGGTGTGTAATGTCTAAGTAAATATGACCTTTGACATTGAAAGCCAATCGGTCAGCAAACGTGAGCTGAAAATGAGCAGTATGGAAACAGAGGAGATGGAGAGTCATAACTGAGTATGGAGGCGTTCCCAGTGGATAGAAGTGTTCTGAATTTAAGTAGAATACATGAACTTGTTTCTTAGTCACAGGACCTACAGACACTCACATTCTTTTGTTATTATAGTCTTTAGTATTATGAGAAGGATACTTTATCTTATCTTCCCTCTTGCTCCTTTCCTTCCCTCTTAGTTGCTTCACTCTCCTGATAGATACATTGTAAAAGCTGTACAGTAATTTTAGCAGTGTATTATGCTGCATGTGTTTTGCTACTGGGTGTCTAGTTATCTCTTCCACATACTGTATGCGTTCATATGATTTGATTCATATTTTCTGGAATTCTGAGAAATAGGCTTCTTCGCTTTCCCTGCAGAGAGGTAGATAGCCAGAAGCCTGTTAGCTTAGCTTATCATGAAGACTTGGGGAAAAGGCTAGCGTGGCCCTGTGCAAAGGTAACATGGTAAAATATATCATATATATCAGTTCCACTAAAAATTACTAAAACTTTTTTTTTATCTCAACTTGCCTGCCTCACTACTAACTCTCCCCCTACATTGTTAACTGTTTTGACTTTTAATTTTCTGTTTAGATTATCTAATTTATCACTGTTGAAAGTATTTAACTCTGCTTCCCATAGATTCTGTAGGTCTTTTAATACATCTTTGCACAATGTGCTCTTTTGTTCTGGGCCCGACTTGCTAAGCAAGTATCTCCATAGGTTCTTGAAGATTTGTAATGCAATCCTTGCAGTCAAAACCTTGTCCTGTCTCAGAAAACACTGCGAACAGTCTACCTTTTTATCATGGCTACTCTGATTGCGCTTGCTTTTGAATGCTGTGTTTGTCTGCATAGCTACACTGTGCTGTACTTAGTGAGGGAGTTACAGTAATATTTATACTTATTTCAGTGGTTTAACTAAGCTCTATCTGTATTTTGTTAAACATTTTCAAATTTGGCCAATACAGATGACTCCGTCCACCACTGTCCACTTGGAACTGAAATGACCATGAATGAATTGCCAGTATTCAGGCTCAGAAAGGGCACTGACTGCTTAACATGAATTCATTGATAGATAAAAGATGTCAAAAATACTGGGATTGTTCGACAGTGCAACAAAAATAGCTCATTTGCGTCACAGCTCACTTTCCAAGAACGTTTTCCGCATGCACTTATAGTACACGATAACATTCACACACAGTGTCCAGTTGCAAGTCCCATTCATAGATGTGTATATGGTGTATAACAAGTGCTTACCATGCCACAATAACAGTAAGTATGTAAGTAAATTAAAAGTAGAGTCACTGAGAGAGCAACCATTCCTTCAGTTTATCAGATTACATGGATAGAATTTAATCAAGTCAGCATGAACTTCAGTTCACACATCCATGGAGTGCTGTAAGAGAGTCTGTGCTGCTGTTTAAGACTTTTAATGCAATCAGGGGTCTGATGAAAAGGCTGAAGGTGAAAGGTCAGGCGTATATTTGTTTGATGAATTTAGCTGAAATATAATTTACAAGGTAAAGGTTCATTTACAAACTTAACTTACTGTTTATACAATGAATATACTTATCCTCACACCCACACCCCCACCCCTTTTCCACAGGACATTCAGGTACTGGCCATCGCTCTCAGTATGACAGGGAAGTTTGCCATCGCCATTGCCTTTGGTCTCATCTACCTGTACACCTGTGAGCTTTACCCAACCATCATCAGGTAAGAGCAAACAGAATCAAAACTCATACGCCCCCAGAAACATGAAATATCTGGACTGCAACAATGAATTTGTCATTTGTCTTTTTTGAACTGCTTCTTCAATCCATCAGGGAGTTGAAATCAAATCATCATTACTATATTTATATCTTGACAGTACAAAGTCGAGTTGTCAAAACATTCCAGTCTTAACAAACAGTTTATTTTCATGTCAAAAAGATTTGAAAAGAAACTTGGACATAACTTGATCATAAAGTAATGTTCCTTTTCAGTTTACAGTAATTTATATTTGTTCATATCTGTGGCAGTATGCCTCATGTCTGTACCCTGAAGTCCCTGAATCTGTCTCCCTATATGTTGCTGACCATGTGTATGATATCCCTCCAGGTCTCTGGCAGTGGGTAGTGGCAGTATGATGTGCCGTGTTGGCAGTGTGGTGGCCCCCTTCTGTGTGTACCTGTCTGAGGTCTGGGTCTACCTACCTCAGGTATACATGTTCTCTTCTGGCTATTATTTAATGTTTAATTACCGGTTATTACCTGCTCCATTCTTTCACCTTTGCACCTTGTTCCTGTTTGTCAAAGTTTGTCTACTTGGGTATCCTGGCAACAAAACAAATTTCCGCTAATTAATTTTTTCCTTTATTCATCACCACCCCTGTGTAGCTCATCGTGGGAATCCTGGCATTCATTATCGGAGTGCTGACGTTGTTGTTGCCTGAGACCCTAGGCAGACCTCTGACAACCACATTGGAAGAGGCTGAAGCTCTGGGACGCGAGCCTAGCAAGAAGAACTCAGCCCTGGGCAATAAAGATGCAGAGGATGGGTTGGAGCTGAATCAACCTGATGCCAAGGCTTGAGTTATACACTGCTGGAAGAGAGAGAGAGAGACCGATGCACAAAGAGAAGCAAATAGCAAGAAAAATGAAGGAAAAGAGAGGAGGTGATGGCTGCCAAAAACTGACATATTAGCTTCATTGATTTATTGGATTGTTGGAAGAAAACGAAAAAAACAAAAACAACAAGCTTTTTAAAGAACTTGTTGAAATGACGTGTTTGTTGACATTTTGTTCTGTAGAGAGACCAACAGTTCTTTTCACTCTTCTTTAAGGGTCTTCAGACATTACACAAAGCCTCATGCGTGCATACAGATCTCAGTTAGGTAAAAAATCATGAAATCGATGAAAATCATGTGTGGTATGTGTGTGTATATTGTGTGCGTCCAGTTGTGTGTGTCCAAGACCCAGGATACATGAAGTATATTAAAGGATCATTTCAGTTTGTGACAACTTCAGTCGTATTTTTGAAGATTTGCCCATTATTTCTTTTAGTTAATTAATAACTTTAAACTCACTACAGTAATTTCTGAGATCTGGAAGCATGGTAGCTATAACACAAGTCTGATAGGGCAAGAAACAACAGCAGTTAGGTGTTGTAAACAAGCCAACTGTTCAGCCAAATTATCAAAACAGCTTTATTTGCACACCAGAAATATCAGTAATAATACACACAGGAACAGTGTGTATTATTGTGCACAGTGGGTCAACGTTGAACCAGAAAATGTGATCTCAGATCTCAGCAATTAACTGGAAAGCCAAAACTACAAAAATAAGACCCAAATTGTAATAATCTGGAATTATCCTTTAAGAAGAGGAAGTTACCATAAGTACAGTGACACAACAGTCAGCTTCTGTGCCGTGATTGAGTTACCTCTCTGAAACCGTCTAATCAATCAGTCATAAGTGCAGATCATGGCTGTGCATATAGTATTAAGGTGTACAGATACAGTTATTCTAAACATGTGTAATACATATCATTTCCATGATCTAAACAATAGAATGATTTATTCTAATAACAAGTGCCTTATTTTTTAATAGTGAACCTTTTTATAATTTTCAACTTTTTTTTAATCTCAGGGCATCCTGTTTTGGATATCACTGTGAAATGATCCTAAACATACCGTTTACTTTTACTTTACTCAGTTTGACAGTATCCATCTTGTTTAAGATGCCATTGCTTAGCTTTAACTTTGTATCTAATGTTTGTGTGTGTGTGTGCATGTGTGCGTTGGTAAGTACAGTAGTTGGTGTCCCAGTTTTCTACGTGCTTATTCAGTGTATACAATCTAGATGCTAGACATACTGAAGGAAATGTATGTAGTAAGACGTGATCTCCAGATATTTGGACCAAAGGCAGGAATGAAGCACAACAGTGTGGAGATGTATTGACCTGCTTGCAATGTTGTAGTGTACTACCAGCATGTTTTTGTTTATTATCAAACCATAGTATGGTGCTTTAATCTAAAGGAGATCAAAAAATCATGACAATCAACTGGTATCCTAACAGTGAAGGAATTTGATTACCAGGTGGGGTAAAAGGACTCAGGTTCAGTATTTCATTCTGGACAGATTTACAATCAACAGTATGTTGTTGTTGTTGTTTTCATATGAATTGATTTTTTTGTTAGTATTATCTTTATTTCATTACGCAAAAATAAATAAGATGTTGAAGTTGTTGACGTCTTCATGGCTATAATACACTTTTAAATTAAGTGTTTCTATGCATCTACTTTAACAACTGCAGTTCTATTTCATAAATGTGCTCCTTCGCAAGTTAAAAGCAATCTCCCTCTTCCTCTCTCTCTGTCTGTCAAACTGGAGGGTTCAACCTGGTGCTGGGAAAGTAGGGAATCTATTTTTGTCATACGGAGAATATAGAGCAGGTCTGAGAACAGCCCACCGACACTAACAGCTTCCTATTCGCCGGTGGAGAGGAGGTCCCCACTGCTAATGCCAACTCCCTCTGCACCACCCAGCACATAAACAAACCCTCTGAGTTCAACTTTGGAGAAGAAAACTCTGCAGATGCATGACCAGTATATATATATATATATATATGTGTGTGTGCATGTGTGTGTGTTTGTGTGGATGGAAAAGCTAAACGTCATGCACTTCACATAAACCTTAACAGACAGGCTGCTAATGTGAACTTCCACTTATGTCATGATACTGATACCCTGAATACTGTGTGGTTATTATTGGACAGCATGGAGTGAAGATTTTGTCAGGAATTCCCTTTCTCTGCATGTGTGCTCTTGCAGTTTTATCTTTGTGAGGGTCAAATGGAGCTGTAGACTTTTTTAGAAAGTCAGGGCTGAGGGTAAAGGGCTAGGGGATGTTTTCAATAAGGGTCCTCACAAGTATAGAAGGTGGTGGTAAATTGTAGCAGCCTTTTACAGTAATGAAGACACATGAGAGAGGTTGGAACAGGGGCTACAAACCAATGTCAGTAAATTATGGACCATTAGATGCACTATGCTATTATGTATCCCTCTGACCTCTACTAACACACACAATGTGCAACCTCTGTTCAGATATTTTTCAGTTTCCCTCAACTTCCAGTGTTATCCTATCATTAAATGGGTTTTAGGAGATTTTTTAGAAATACAAAAACACTGTGGTTCAGTATCAACAGAATATTAACACAGTGTACTGACTCCAAACTGTGTATTTGTTCCAGCAAAAATGGAAAGAGGACACCATTTGCTGGTCATGGCTGTGAGTTACATCAAGCTGGATATGGCTTGTCTTCAGCGTTTGAACAGTAATCCAACAGTTTGTCAATTATTTTTATTTCAAATAATTGAATGTCAAACGATGTCTGTCTATAGTTATGTGATCATATATTAAGGTTGTATTGCTTGTGTTCAAATATTTATTTCATACAGTTGCTCTAAATCAAGGCAGACTGCTTGTTGCAGAGGTGCTTCTTTATAAGCAGTAACCAATCTTTACTTATTTTCTTCTACTTTTCTGTAATCAGACTATAGAATGAAATTCACAAACAGGGGAGACAGAAAGAAGATAAGTCGAGGTTGAGTGGAGTGATGGACAGGCTGCTGCAGGGAAGAGAGTCCTATGTGGTAAGAACAAAGGCTGATGGCGTGGACCATGATCTGGAGGCTGCTCTGTTAGTAGCTGCCTATCAATCTGAAATGTGTAGCAGCATGAGAGATTTTAGGTAGGCTGAGGATGAGGCAGGCTGCAGCATTCCTGATGAGGTGAAAAAGCCACAACAAACTTCTTAATATACTTTTTTCCCACACAAAAAAAAGGAAGTAAAGCAGAGACAATAGCTGCAATAGTTAGAGGACATTTATTTTGAAGACTGTAAAATGATGGACTGCATTAGTTGTTGTTAACCAGTTTTCAGCTGTTGATATAAACCCATTCTAGACACCCTTAATATGCCAAGAATAGTTTCATAGCCACCAGAGACCAAAGATACAAATGATTAAGTTATCAAACAGTTTTTTTCCTTCCTGAGAATCTTATCTGGAATGCAAATGAATACAAAATAATAAATTAAAACTGGCAAAAAAGGAAACACTGAACACAAACCAGGACAATGAAAAGGTACAGACAATGGAGATAAGGATGGTAGAGGGAAATATGTAGATGACAGTTACATGTTAGCTTATGGTTACTGTTCTCTGGATGGTTTTTACATGAGTGATGAAAAACATGCACTTTGAATAGCTGCTGGAGAATTAGAAATTAGTGTTAGCTGGCATTGGTAACACTTCACACTTACATGATAATATTTTTGAATGGGAAAACAAACCCTTAAACAGTAACATAATCCTACGTGATATTGAAGGCAAATCAGTATCCAGTTTTGTGACCAAATCCCTCATTTTGCTGCAGAATTTCAGGACAAGTCACCTCAGAGAAAGTGCAGTATAATACAGTTTTGTAATGCATCGCAGTAGAAACATTGGTATTTGGCAAACTCAATTTTTTAAACTTTGGATTAAACAAATGACGCTCAATAAATGCTTTTTTTAGTGTTTGACTCTAAACCCAGCCTATATTCTCAACAAATGACCTTATCCAAACAATCAATCTATGCTAAAATACACTGCTGGTTTGGTCAAACTCAATCATTCATGCACACACAGTTGGAATTCTCTGAATTCATAATTGAGTGCTTACCGTTTAACCCTCATTTATACCTAATAATATCTTACAAATGAAACAAAATGTTATAAATCAATATTATAACAACTGACTTGACTACGTCACAACTACACCAGCTGTGCACAGAGGTTCCTGTCAGTTTCTGAAACTCTTAGTGAGGTTTGGCACTTACAACAGTCCTAAACAACTAATATACAAAAAAGGGTTTTGGTACTTTCTTTTTATTCATGGATACCATTTCCCATTCCAGCTTTTAGGACATTGACCCTTTCATAAAGTATGAACCTCTTACTTGGGCAATGTCTCTGAAATCCTCTCCTACAGTAAACACCCCAGCGACCAACATTTAGAATATTTCCAAACACATGTAGCGATCCGCATCTTGCGCTAATCTCTCCTGGAGATTAAAGCAATGATGGATTTTTGTTTACAGAAACGAACCTAAAAACAAGCTCAAATTAAAACAAAACTCAAGTCACGCAAAAGTGAGCTGAAAACATGATTTCCCATTGTCCTCAGTCAATTTTTAAATAGAGCCTTTTGTCCTTCCAATGACTCAACTCCTATAGTCCTCAGTGCTGGGACTGTCGTGATAGGAGTCTATTGCAGATGGAAAACAAGAGCCCGTACAAACATGAGCGTCAGGATCCGCACACCCCTGAACACACCTCACTTTTCTTAGGAATGCTGAAAGACGGGGAACGCTCCCCTTTGCCCTCAGGCTGCCTCCAGCTATCTCCAGCCTTCTAGCCAATCAGCTTTTTTTTGGCTATATCCACTGTTCATCAAACAGCTTAGGGATGGACCAGCCAGCTGTTGGCATCCTCCAGGTCTGTGTCTAGATCCTCATCTTCATCCAGGGGCTCTGGGGTCCGGAGGGCCAGCTCTCGAAGAAAAGCAGGTGAGTAGGCGGTGGGTTGGGAGACAGACTTCAGGCCAATTTTTTTCTTCATGAGGTGGAATTGGTCACGGATGAAGTTGTAGAACTCATACTCGTAGCGCATACGGTGGTACAGCACCTGTAGGGCCTCTAGAGTGGGTGTATGTTTACGTACTGTGCCTGTCATGTTCCCCATCTTCCTATAGTCTGCAGAAAGACAAAGAGGATGTCAAATTGACAGGAATACAATCAGTGAATCAGGCTACAATGTACACCATTTTTCAGAAATATAACATCTAACAAATGTGATCTACTAACATGCACCTACCAGGGCTCTTGTAGATGTTGAGTACTCCAGTAAAGTAATGAGGTAAGAGCCTCTCCAACAGGAGCAGAACATCCTCCAGCTCTTCCAGGATACCAACAATAAGGTAGTTCTCCAGCACATTCTGTTTGGCCCTCTCCAGAGCCCATACTCCTGGCTCCCTGGTGAAGGGAGAAGAAGAGATTAAGAGACAGAAAAACAAAGACAGTAACACAGCAGCCTTACATGACTAGAAACAGTGTCTAAAACCAATCAAAAATCAAAATGCTTTGTCATTAAACCTGAGTGTGTTGATACCTGCACTGAGGATGCTGTCCGCAGAAGTAGGGAATGATGTAGAAAACTCTGGGGTTGGAGCACTCAGGGTAATTCTCTAGAATGCACACATTGATATCCTGAAAGCAGACAAACACACAACAATCATTTTAATTTTACAGTACCCATTCCTTAATCATTTTCATTCCACTTGCAGTAAATGAAACGCAACCAGAATTGTAATGATGTTTTTCCACCACTTGAGGGGGCCCTTCACCAGCACTGCTGTGAACTCACGCTCACTGATAGTCATCATCCCAGAAACCGAACTGCTTTGCAAAACAACATCCTGAGCACAAAGATAAGCTCTGCCCCTTCACCTCAGCAGCTCTCAGAGGCTGAGGTGTCAAGTAATATAACATAAGTTTCCTTTTTATCTATTGAGATTCTGTGTATAGATTCATGCTCACCTGAAAAACACATTGATGTAATATAAAGTGGAATTACTATAATCTAACTGCGCAAATCAGATAGAAACGATAGTTTGACATTATGCAGTGATCTAACAGGGATGAACTTTCATTTCATTTCATTTCACATTTCACGTCTTCTAAGTCAGAAATAAAGTGTTTCAATCAGAGTTGCGAACTTTAAAAGACCCCTTGTGTAAATGTGGGAGCTATTAAATAATGAAAGGAAAAATACAGAGGAAAGATTAAAAACACACATGCAGGAGTGAAGCTGGCCAGCTACTAAGTGCTGTGGAACTGGCAGTTAAATCCATGTCAGGTGACGTAAGCCTTATGGATGGCAACAAGTCCAGAGCAACAAAACACACCACGAAGCATGACCCTGTCTCTCACACACACGTGCTCAAACACATGTTATACGGTAGCACCAGACCACATGCATGATACAAAAGGTGTTGACAGGCTCGTTGTATAAAAGAGTATGGGGACTAAACATGGAGGCAGAATTGAAAGTGTAATGATTGCGTCAAGACTTGCCTTTAAGATTTATACTCTGATAAGTCGGTAATGGCTGATTTAAACAGAGCAGTTTGTCAAAGCCAACA